GGTGTGAGCTCTCCCAAAAACAGCGCGCTCGAGACGAGTCGCAGGAGTACGAAGTCTGGGTCGGCACAGCGAGGCCACGTCTGGCCTCCTTCCTGGGTATCGGAGCACCAGAGCAGCGGGTCAGGTTCACGTCGACTGATGACGTACCCTTGAACCGTGCAACAGGCGCAGACGCATTCGGATTTGTATTGAACTTGTGGGCAACCTGGCGATTCCAAGCGGTTGGCCCAGGCTGCCCCTCTGGCAATCATGAGTGGTCATCTTGACCACGAGGGGGCCAAGGGCAACTGGCCACGCGAGCGGCGCTCCGCCTCTGATAAAAGGCCGTCGCAGCGGATGCGCGGGGGCTGTTGGGATCGCGGCGCAGGCGATAGCGGTCATTAAATGTTTACGTGTTGTTGAACCGGTGTGCTGCGTCGCTCTCCGAGACCGGTAGCAGCAAGGGAATCCCACACTGGCGCCCAGACGTGATATGCTGCTCGTCTGGGAGGATGGCAGCAAACTGGGTTCGTTCTTACGTTTTACATAGTCAATTTTGCGTTCCTGAGTTTGCCCACAGTTGAGGGGGCGTTTCTTTGCAAGCCTAAGTTCATTGACCTGCGGAAGCCTCCACTACAACACAATGCTGTCTACAGAGGACGTCGACAGAAACGTCAGTGAGGACGACCTTTTGACGCTCGGTGCACTCGCAGATAACGCCGCCAGCGACATAAAACCATACGCTAAGCCTGTAGTCTCAGTCCCGGCAGGCGCATCATCAGAGGGTGGTCTAGCAGAATTAAGAGTGGCCACGACCATGCTTTTTCACATACAACGAAAGCAGATGATGCGCTCAAGCACCACTCCTGCTGGAAGCACGCTCCCCCAGGGACTACCTAAGGCTCTCGCTTAGCTTTCCGGTTTTTTCGGGGTACGCAGATAGAAAGTCAGTCGCGATGTTCGTCTCGGAACTGCGGGACTACCAAGCTGCGTTGAGAATTGACGACGAAACCATCCTCACCCGCCTTTTGCCGGTTGCACTGACAGACAGTGCAGCACTGTGGAGGCAAAAATAAACAAAATTCAGAAGTATGTCAGATTTCGAGGCACGATTTAGGACGAAGTTCCTGCCTCCGGATTACAGCATGCGGATGAGGGACGAGCTGCGCGCGCGCACACAGCATCCGGAAGAGTCACTTATTGAGTTTGTAAGGGCTCTCCAGGGCCCGTACGATATCTTTGACGCCGCGGCACCGGACGCGGAGGAAGTACAACACGCCATCCGCCAAAGCCACCCGCGTTTCCGTCCCCATCTCAGGGTACGTACCTTCACGAATTTAGACGAGATGGCACGGGAGGCGATCACCATCCAGGCCGACATCCTCGCGGAACTAAGATACCGCCCCCCTCCACCGCAGAACATAACTCTGGAACCATCATTTGCGTGGTCTGGAAACGCACGTGTACATAGAGTCGAGAGAGAACAAGACGATTCCAATCAGGCGTCCGTCCCCCGAATCCCAAATCCTCGTGCATACGAATCACGAGCCCTAGATATCTTGTGCATACGAATCACGGAGTTGCAGCGGTTATGAGGGCACGCATTCACAACGCTACAGCCCCTCCATTGGTCAAGACGAGTTGTTGTCCTCTTGACCGGTAACGCGGAGCTTGGGAGAGGCAAGAAAAAGCGGGACACCGCACGAAGCCGACGGGCGGGCCACGCCCCGTTGTTTTCGATGCGACCAGCCAGGACACATACACCGGGACTGCAGCGAACGGCAGCGGCCACCTCAGACACAGGGAAACGGCTACGGCCGGCGGTGGTAAGAAATTTCTACTGTCCGCCGGCCGCGCCGAAAACACAATCCACAAGATCGAGCCGCCGCAGCCGCCTCCGGGCCTCCCGCTTAGGTACGTAGCCGAACAACAACTGAAAAGGCGAGAAGCCTGTGCTCGAATTAACTGACGTGTTAACGGCAAAGGCAGCTTCGTGTAGCTTGGTGGGCCATGCCAAGGGTTCCAATGCGCTAAGCTTGCGCAGCACAGTGAGGAGTGTTCCGTCGCTCCGCTCTACAAGGCCATTACCTTCAAGCCGGTAGGCTGAGGAGTAGTGGAGCTCTACGCTGTGTAGGCGCATGAAGCGCTTGAACTTCGCTGATTCAAAGGCTGAGCCGTGATCAGAGAGACCGTGATCCGGAGAAGATTGTACCCAGGAGAGTACCTGCTTCTGATTGTGAGGTCTGGCTGCTGGCCTGCGCTGGATATAACCAATCCGAGAGACTTAATATGTGGAAGAGCAAAACGACACTTGTCTAACGAGGCCTTAAGTCCATTGTCCAGAAGCAATTGGAGGGCTTCACGAAGTAGTTGCGCAAAAGTGTCGAACGACTGAGCATAGATAATAATATCATCAAGATATACACGAATACCAGACCTGTCGTGGCGGGGCTTCAGATCTTGAAAGACTGTCTGCATGATACGTTGGATTGTGGATGGCGCATTTTTCAAACCAAACGGCATCCGAGTCCACATGTATGTGCCGTGGTGAGTGCTGAAAGCTGTCTTTTCATAGTCCTGGGGGCGGAGGCTGACTTGCCAGTATGCGCTTTTCAAGCCCATGGTAGCGAAGTACGCGCATCCAGCGATGTCATGGATGATATCATCCACAAGAGGCAGGGGGTGCACCACTGTGATCGTGCGTTCATTGAGTGGTGCATAGTTAACACACAAACGTTTCTTATATCCGCGAGACACTACGACCGCGGGAAAAGCCCATGGGCCAGATGCTGGAAGAATAACACCTTGGTACACGAGTTTCTTTATCTGTTTTTCCAGGAACTGTCTGTCTTCGGGAGCATATCGGTATGGGTTACGGCTGTAGGGTAAGGCGTTTGGTAACAGGTCAATGCGATGATGCATGCCTGTAAAATAGCCTAAGTCATCCTCGTGACGGGTGAAGACTCCATTCTGCTGTGTCAAAACGTCGGCAATGACAATATTTTGACTGAAAGATAACTGATCTCCAAGGAGGGCTGGCGGAAGATCAGCGTGAATGACTTTAGCAACAGTACCGGCTATCTGGGCTGACAGCTCGGCATTGGGACTATTGAAAGGCAAACGTGGAGTTTCTTGGGCAAAGGCTTGCCCGGGTGGCTGCTCCGACGACGGCAGGGGCTCTCTCTGTAAGCAGTCTTGTGACGTGGTCTGCACTTGTGAATTAAGGCTCGATTCGGTGAGAATTACGGCATTGGACATCCGTGGTGCTAGTTTTTGTCCTACGATTGACAGACCTCTGGCCTTATCCTGGAGCCGGACGGGCTCCGGAGGCTCAAAGATCAGGCGCGTTTGTGCGTGTGTGCGTGTGCGTGTGTGTGTTTGCGTAACGAGACGACAACAGCCGGCATCGTTGACGGCATGCCAGAAAAATGTTTCAAAACTACATGCCCGTTTTTGCAAGGTCCACTTTATGCAAGACTCCTGAGCATATTTTATATCCAGGAAACCAGACATTTACACAAAGCTGGTTTTGCCATACGGAAGCGCAGGAAGCCAGATTGGTGTATCTCATCACAGCTGAAATGCTCGCTATCAATTTGAAACTGTTGATATCCTACTAGCCGTACAGTTTTCAGCGATCACCGAACGTCTCACCCTTCTATAGAGCATCCACTGTGAATATCGATTTGTATTGTCACGGACAGCTTAAAATAAACATGGCGTAGAGAGTCCAGAGCAACTTGTCATTGCTCTGCGACCCTATGAGATACCGGAATTTCCCTAGAAGGCCAAAGATGACGAGGCAAGAAGCATGAACAAAATAGGCTACGCTTTACGTTTTAGTTACCCTGTCGGTTACTATGGTCTTCGTGAATAATTTGGTTAAAAACTGGGTTAATATATCTAGCGGCACAAATATTTGAAATTGTTACATTATAATCTATTATATCAAATATTATTCCGTAAGCTCCAGAGACTGCACCTCTTTAGTTGGCATAAAGCGTCTATGGCAAGGAAGTGCGTTCTCACCCTGTGTATATCATACAACTGTCACTGTTCTTCATGCCATTAATGGCTTTCAAATACGTTGTTTTTGTAGTTTTTTGTTACAGGGCAACATAGTATTTATGAGGAAAACGACAAACTCCGAGGGAAACCGCGTTGAGGAACCAGCTGTCTTCTTTCCATTCGACATATGCTCCTCAACGGACACAGTCACCCTTGAAGAAGCCTAGCTGCCCGCGTGTTAGAGACTCGTTGAAATTTTATTTTTAATCAAAAATTTACCCACTTAAACTAACTTCTTTCGAATATGTTTAATCTTCAAGTCAATATTTTTACCCGAATTAAGCACACTTTCGCGCGCCGGTTCTTCTGTAAGGGAAGTGGAGGCTCCAGGCCCGAGTTTCAACGCCAGAACCGCTAGTAGATTAAAAGAAAGTTACCAGCTGCGAATTAAAAAAGCACAAATGAGGACGGACAGGATGAAGAACGATACCGAAACAGCGCTGAGTCCGCTTTCTTTATCTGGTCTTTCGTCTTTTGGGCAGCTTTAATTCTCATGCATGTCGAGCCAACTCGCACAAGCTTCAACTTTACCAACTGCCACCATTGTATAAATTTAAGAACACAAAACGAATTAATGTCCGGCATTATTTATATGTAATCATTTAGGAGAAATTCCCAAGATGGAGATGATTTATGACACAATGTATGGATGTCTCATCATAAATTATGAGTTTAATCGAGCCCTTCAGGGTGAATGGTGTGCAGTTGAGCAAAGCAGCCTGACGCAGGATTCTAGTTAGAGTTTACATTCCCTTATTAATAAAGCGCACCAGTGCGTAAAGCGCAAACAAACAAACAAAAAAAAAGAACGGGCTTATTCAAGGTGGAAAACAAGCATCTTTTCAAAGAGCTCTGACACTTAATCTTTTAATTTCCCTTATCATAAATAGTGTATAACCATTATATGCATAAATCTGCTCGTTTGAGCGAACTACATAAACGCCCTCCTCTTATCAACCTTGAAGGATTTCCTTGAACAACTGCGTCTCTGGATCTGAAAAAAAAAAAAAAATCAGAATTACTATTTTCGCACATTTCTGTACGATACAAATCGAAAAAAAAAAATAGCTGTAGTCTTAATATAACATTGCCCCAAGTTCTTTTCTAATAAAATGGTATCAGGGTGTTGAACTGGTGTAAAGTATCAGCTTACGCCTTCTTCAAGATCGACAGAAATTATATTTATTTCTTAGTGTTTTTGTAATATATGTATTAAGAACTGTCATTTTTTTAACGCTGGAAAGTGGGAAAATAGAAAGGCAGGACAACACGAATCTCCACACAGTTAGAGTTTTGTTGTGCTGTCCTGTTTCCCCACTCTCCAGGGTTAAACAATATTACGTGAAATTGCTAGGCAATTAATTGTGTTACATACGTGAAACGTTCTAGCGTCCCAAACGTTTCGCGATACTCGGAGTTTCCAAACGCCAGACGCCTACCTTCACGGCGCTCTTCAGATAGTTTAAAGAGTACCATGTGTGCACTTGAGAGTTGTTCTTAAAATGAAACGATACCACCTCTTATCGGGCTGATAAATCTGGCGACCTTTTAGAGTCTTCCGTAATCTCGAGCTCATGCTCATATAGCTTTTCTCTGACACAGTTCCAGTTGCATGTACCGTATATAACTAAAATATACCACGCATTTAAGCAACGGCGATGACACTTACCGCATTCGAATTCACACTCGTCCTCAGATGGAAAGCAGTTCTGTGAAGAATGACAGCGCCCTTTCGTCATAATTGCTTCGCAGTGATTGGTTCGGGGATTAAAAGTCCAGTTTGGTATAACGTTTCCTCCTCTGCCACCTCCATAACCGCCATTGTACCGGGGTTCACATTTCGCTTGTGCTGTTGTCAAGAGCCCTGTAACATCAACCATATATGAGATTAACTAGCCTTAATTATATACACGTAGGCATAAAACAACAAATTAGTAAAACGAACCGTCATAAGCCCCGTCGTTCTTAACGTAATAGGAACTGACATGTTCAGAAACGCAGGGTGTGACGAGTTCCTATAGCATCCGATTATCGCTCCGCAACCATTGAGATTGCGGCATTCGGCGGATTATATGCCGAAGAACAAACTGTGAAGCAAAAAGCGTGAACATAATGGAACAGAAAGTCAGGCTGCAAACAAGCAAATGAAGGTTAGACCTAAAGCCAAACAAAACACGAGCCCAGTCTGAGACTTTGTTTGCATGGGTGCGTGTCTGTGTTTCCGTGCGTGCGTGCGTGCGTGCGTGCGTGCGTGCGTGCGTGCGTGCGTGCGTGCGTGCGTGCGTGCGTGTGTGTGTGTGTGTGATTGTGTGTTGTGTGTGCGTGTGGTCTTTGATTTCTGGATTCTCAGGATTGTGATATTTATAACATAATATGCCACATTCGGCGTCTCTTGAGCTGTCTGATTCTGCGCCGAGAAACTGATGGAGAGGAAAGGGCGAGAGCGTGCGGGGACGTGACAGCGCCGAGCTCTGACTGGAATGATTAGTGGGTAGACGCAAAGCTAGCTGCCTTCACCTGTACTCATACTCTGAATGCGTTGGATTGACGAAAGCCGGCGTCTTGCGTTCCGCGTTCGCGTTCCAACATGTTCGAAAAATAAATATGCACAAAGGGAGCTAGCATCACGTCTATCCCCTAATCCTTCCAATCAGACGTCGGCGTTGTGACATCTTCACGCGCTCTCAATCGTCACCTGTTCTAACTCAATTTCTCTGCGCATAGCTCTCCGACGCATCCGACGTATGGCCCTCCGCATGACGCGTTTTGGAGCACTTATACGTACGACGGAGCAAATGTACCACGTGGTTTTTAACAGGCTCGTGATTGGACCTGGCAGCCTCTAGCATTGGGCTTCAGTCCATCCAGGATGATACGGAGTGTAGTAACCCTACTGAAAAAAACCATTTGAAATTCAAACGGGTGGCAAACTGGTCGCCCGTTTGAATCAAACCTGTCGACCCGTTTGGATCAAACGTGATTGTGGGATACGGGTACCCGTTTGGAAACGGTACCCGTTCGAAACGGTACCCGTTTGATACAGGTGCCCGTTTGATACGGGTGCCGTATGGTACGAGTACCCGTTCGACATGGCACGTGACCACACGTTTGAACGTGCCCTTCGAAATGGCAAATTATGCGCTAGCCCTAAATGGGTATCGTCTGGGAGGTTGGTTATCTTAAACATATTTAAGACGTCCCGAAACTCATAAACGTACTTATAACATGGAGAAAACACGTAGAACAAATGCACTCGCGTAGGTGCTTGTAAGTGGACAGGAAAACCGACACAAAAGATTGTTTTCAATTCTCCTCGAAGTTTATTACCTCTTCTGTAGACAAGTACAAACGTGCAAGCGATCTGTGAACACTATACAGGTAGACTTTCGGGGAAATTATTCTCCTGGCTGCCGCGCGAATAAGCGCTGCATAATTTTTTAGATAATTTAGAAGAGTACGCGTAGAAGAACGGTCAATCGTTGCCAACACGTAGGTTGCAGTGCACTTACCATAACAATAGCGGACTTGAAAGAGGTAATCCGTGATATTTGTCGACACGGTCAAAGCAGGACAACCACACAAACACAAACGAGAGGGAACGGCTCCTTGGAAGTTTCAACACGATGCGGCGCACAAGCTGTCATTTGCCGAACCCAACCAAACCGCGAGAATTTGCGACTTTGAAGAATCGCTCGTTGCCGACATACACGTGGGTCTTTTCGAACACTGATAGCTTTGATGCACATCCAATACGTTGTCGAGAGACATCCCAATAAGACCGCAGGGTTAGGCGACAGATTGAAGCAGGTAGGACGAGCGAACTTCGAGCAGCAACTGACAACAAGCAGACAAAGAAAAAAGCGGCTGCAAGGCGCGCCCTTCCGGATCTCGATGCTTCTCAGCGTGTAGCTCGCGCGCTGCTGTGGGTCACGTGACAGGGGTGACAAGGGAGGAGGGAGGGGGCGAGGTCAAGGCGCTGGGACCACCGGGACAGCCCCTCTCCCTCTCCCCAGGCATTCCAGGGAGATGCGTTTTTGTAGTCCCGAAGAACAAACGCGCGCGCGCGCGCGCGCTCCAACTTTGGAAATGGCGGCGGGGCTGCCAGAAGCTCGGCTTGCGCCCGAGCGAAGAAAGAACTCAGCGCAAGCTCGTAGTTTGAGTGCTGCAACGGCGGGCGTGCTCTCGCAATGCTCGATGTTCTTGCAGCCGCGTGTACGCGTGCTACCTTCGCTGCGTCTTGAATTAAAGTGAAACGGAGTCTAGACGTACATTCTTTCACGCGGTCGCGTCTTCTGCGAGAGAGATTCGAGCTGAATAAGTAAATTGAGGCAACAAAGATGGACAAAGTATTAAAGGTCTGTCAAAAATATCGGCTCACCAACGTCGCGTGTTTACGTCAAAAAATAAAAAGGGGGTTAGTTTTAGTTGCAGTATAATCGAAAATCAGCGCAATTGAAATATAAATATAATTACTTGCATTATGCGGACGATCTGAAATGATGAACCGGCGCTCCCAGCCTTCCGGAAAACATTGGCTACCACGGCTGAAACGCTAGGCGTGCCTACGCCGCCGATCTGTACGTTCAATATCAAACGGGCTCCGGAGAGCCCGTTTGATATTGAACCGGTGCAGTTTGCAACATGGTCGCCGGTTTGAGCAAACGTGCGACAACTTTGCCCAAACGAGTCGCCCATTTGCCCAGACGAGCGACCCGTTTGCCAAATAGGTGACCGTTATGGCTCATACGGGGGACCCCTTTGAGCCATACGGGCGACCCCTTTGACAAACTGGCGACCAGTATGGTTAAACGGTTACCGGTATGGACCCGTTTATTTTCATATGGGCGCCAAATGGTTTTTTTCAGTAGGGAACTTTTTTTTTCAGTATCTTTTTATTTTATAACATGTTTTTGGATTTTGGATGAAGACCTGCGTCTGGCAGGTCTTCATCCCAACCTTCAATGATGCAAACAGGAGATTTTTTTTTTTTTTTGGCAAATCGCGGTGAAGTTGTTTATTTTTAACTTACTAATGTTTTAAATTTCCATATATTTTTTGTCGTTAATTGAGTTTCAAAAAACATCCTTGTCACATTTTGTTGGATAAAAATCAAAGGCACCATTGTTGTTTTGGTCTCCTCCTTTGAGATATTTTGAGATAAACTTACTAATCCTCTATCCCGATTATTGCAACTTTAAAAAAGATCCAAAGGCAGTTCTGTTCCCATTTACTTTTATACACATCCTGGGCTATACACTCGCCAAACACAAAGTTGGAACCGAAAGTTTGCAGAGTGTTCCGATTGGGCGCCGGCGGCAAAAGCGCACAATCATCGTCATGATAGCCCAATCAGTGCTCTCCGTGAACTTCGGCCCTGACTTTGAGTTTGACGAGTTTAGGGCCCCTGGACTTTATAAGCTTAATAAAATCACTAGCGGCCCCACCTTTAATATTTTAGGAATTATAGTGAAGAAGTGAATGCTCCCAGTATATAAAGTGTAGATGACTAAGTCTTTACAGAGTTAAAGCAAAAAGAGGTGTTGCATTCTGGAGGAGAGGAACACAACATAAACGTCTAGCTCAAATTAAGAAAATGAAAACCAACAATTATACTGAATTAAAATTAGAAGGAGGAAAAAAAGTCATAAAGATAAAGTAAATATCTGAAAATATTTGGTAAACTTGGGATCAAATAGAATGAAAGCCGTTTACAACTCCCAGTGACGCCAAATTAGAGCGCAGCTCTTGAGGAGGAGGAAGGAAGGGTACTCAGGGAAAGGTATATCCCTCCTCCCTCCTTCCTCACGTCCTCATCCTGTCTGCTACTCATCCCTCCGAGCGGCGTCGCTGTCGCCTCACGAGGGTTACGTGACCTCAAGGGGGTCATGTGACGTCACCGGGGTCATTTAGTGGCAGGATGATTTTCCATAAATTATGTTGTAAATGTGATTGTGTGTGTCGGTAAACGTAAAAGGGCAGAAATTAAGTAAAAAAACGACCTTTGTCCTGACAAAGATATGTGTATGGCACTGAAATGGTACCACATTCAGTTAGAATGCTTGACGACATAAATGGTTCAATTATAACATTTGCTAATTAAGTCACAGGGTATTATGTCCTGAACTAGAAATGACCAGACGCATTAATATCATGCTGGTGAAGTACATAGAAACGACAAAAAGACGAGGAAAAAGTACCTAGTAAACAAAACAAGTTACAAGAACGAACGAATCCTCATCGCTGCTTTGATTCAACATCAAATGTTACCAGAGTAATGGTTGACAAAAATTACAAAGCTCTGCCTTTCATTCGACAGCCATTCCACATTAAAATTAATGCCCATCACAACCGAAACAGCGGGGATGAAAATTGCCACGGAAATCATCGTACCCACCCCAACACAGGTATTTGATTTCAAATAAACCCACCGTATAAATAAATGACAACAAATTAGGTTTTTGAACAGGAAGTGTCCATACGCTTCAGTATTAGGGTTATAAATTAAATATAAAAAAGAGAAAACAAGGGAAAACGGAAAATAAACAAATCAGGTTCCAAGAGCCTACTCGTCCAGCTCGCTACTTTGATTTAACATCAAATGTTATAAGAGTAATGGCTCACAAAAAAAAATTGCAAGGTTTTACCGATTATTTGGCACCCATTCCAGTTCAAAATTAAGGCCCAGTACAACCGAAGCATCTGCGAAATGATACAAGATGTACTACGTACCTGTTGTGTGAATAGAAATAACGACGGCAATCAGCAGGAGCTTCATCGCTTCTATTGATTCCTTCTTTATGGAATGAAGTTTCTGCGCAAACTGCTTCGTATTTGAACGAATTGACGATTTTATACCTTCGTCACATAGCGTAAGAATCACGTGGGCAATTGTAACATTCTTCATTTCCGCCGTCATGCGGAAACTGTCAACTGTGATCATTGTTAAAACCCGTCGAGAAATAAATTAAAAGTAACAAAAAAACGGACAATAAAGCACACAATTGCAAAGTGCTGCTGCGCTTGTTCGGTCCACCTGTGTACGGAAAAAAAAAAAAAGCTTGCTAAATAAATTAGATACTATCGAGGCTACTTTTTACTTCCGGCTTCCAAATATTTGTTGCCCGAACGTGTACACATCTAAATACTATGATATACTTCGAAATTTAAACGCAGCGAAAGTAGCGATGTACAAAATATGGGCCTTTGATTGGCCGGCGATCAGGGACGGGATATCTTATCTGCAACCAATCTTGTTATGCTAGACGTCGGGGTATAACAAAAAGTCTTAATGCCACCTCGACGTCATTAGTGGGCCTTGTCTTCTACGTTGTATTAGAGTGCCTTCATGTGCGCTTCGCATAGAGTGATGCCGACTGCCTGTTTCCCTTTCCCCCACCCTCTTCCACCGCCATTTTGTTTCACTCATTGTTTCCCCGTGCGCCGGAAAGTAGACTTTGTGTCCATCGGTAATCCCATCCGAGGGGGAAAAGGCTAATCCTCCCTCCGTGGGTTCCACAACGCTGCTCCGAACTTCTGAGATAAGGTGCTTGTTTCCGGGAGGGTTATAAGCCCCACGGATTATCGCCGAGGAACAAAATGGCTGCTGGTTTGTCGGCGAGTGGTATTACAAAGGGTGGCATCACCCTAGCAAAGCGCACATGAAGGCTCCCTACGTTGTATCGTCAGAGCTCGGCCCTTCGACGTCGCCGCGAGCTCTCGTTTCCTCCTCACCTTCAGTTTTTGTTCGTGTGGTCAGCGACAACTTGAGAAGCGGAGGGTGTGGCAAAAGTTCCTTGCAGCTCATTATCGCTCCTTGGTCTATGACATTCCGGCATTAACCAAAGAGGAAGTCGAACAACCAATCACGACACAAGACGCGGAAATATAACTAGCCAAAAGGAGAGTGATTATTCGGGATAGACCAGTGGCTCTCAGGTTTGGAGCAGGGCCCCTGGCGAGGAAAGTCGGATATTTGTTTAGGTCGTTTTTCTGTCGTGCGTCGCGTTGCATCCTTCCAAACTCTGATAAGTATAAAAAGCATGCAATTCAGCAAAAGGTCTATTGTGACGCTGTCTGCTTTTGTGTGCTGTCAATACCCGGCCGATTGAGTCAAGGCAATCCACTTTCCAAAGATGTTACCATGCCGGCAATTATCGCGTTCATTTATTCTTAGGAATGGCCAGAATCGAAAGTCTATCTAAAAAATGACGCGAGGTCATCGCCCATGCTTTGCAATTAGAGTGAGGTAAGGCAAAGCCAAAACGTCCTGCACCCTTCATTGCTGACTAAAGGGCTGTTTATACTCCGACGTTGAGCGCAGTGAACGCAGCGTAGCTCAGAACGCGCGCCTTTCATTGGCCGGCAACCGGGAACTCGATATCTGCGACCAATCAGTATCTGTGCGCGCTGCGCTACGCCGCGCCCGTCGACGTTGCGTTGGAGTATAAACGTACCTTAACGCTTCCGATATTGCAGCTACAACGACATATTAGTTCCAAAGCGAGCGGCGGTCACTCACCGGGGCACCGCCATGTTTCTCCGCAAGCCTACCGAGCCCAGTCACGTGATTTCAAAGTCCCTCTCCTAGGTACCGCGGCTAACTTTAGCCGCGGTTAGCGCTTCGAGCAAACGGGCCCGGGTGATAAAGTTATCTACGAGTACGGCGATTGACTGGTCTGGCCAGGACGTAGCTTCAACGACCCTGCCAGCTGGATTGTGAACGAGGTACAACATCTGGATTGTTATGGATGTTTCTGCGTGGGTGAACAATGGAGGGGTAAATGCGTAAACATAAGTGTTAGCTGACTTCTAACGTCAGCATCTCGTTCCATCGTCTGTTACACGAAGTCCGTTTTAACAATGAACAAAGATGTTTTGCTCTGTGCTCAGCAAGCGAAGCTAGGATCTCCCGTTTCCTTGAATCAAGTAGTTGATTCCTCAAGTGAGATATCCTAGCCGCGCTTGATGAGTACGACATGAGAGAGCTAAGGCGTTTGTGCATTTCCGAGGAACAGTGCAATCTACGTTGTGAGACGGAGAGCCCCTCGACAGCAACGTTTCCTTATAAGCCAGCTCTTTTTTTTTTTCTAAAATTTGAGTTGAATTTAAAGCGGAAATTATTTTAAACGAAATTTTCCAAGAGTAACTCGCATTTCCATTGTTACCGTATACGCGTTCGCAAGAAATGCTCCTGTGCGCTTCCGTTGTGAGCGATGCTGGCGCCGCGTAACGTTTCCGCCATGCTGAGGTGGGCTGGGGCACGTCATTGAGGAGGGCGAAGACAAGGTGGCGGTATCTGCTGCATCACCGATGGCCGACGTTAGGGCACGTTGGCGACGTACTACTGTTTCAAAACGCAGGGGGAGGTATCCACAGACAATCGTGGCAGCCCACAGGATGTAAACGCTTCCATTCTTTGGAAGCGTTTATATTTTCCTTTTCGTTTTAACTGCGATGAAAATAGTCACGTAGCACGTGCTAAAAACGTTTCCAGAGACAATGAAGGTTAGTTCTGATTTTACTCTTGTATTCCTTAAAATATATCCCCCTCTTTCGGAAGAGACACTTGGCAACACTGTACGACCAGCAGCGAACTTGTGACTGGAGAGTGCACCGTGCTGGAGAGTAGGTCCCCATCACCTGGACGCGCGGTTCGAGATTAAGCCGGGACCCCACTTGCAAATATGTATTGGCAATGAGAAAACACGACAAAGTGCTCGCGCGTTTTTTCTATATACGATTCTCGTACCCCTGTCCAAGAATTCGAAAGGCTACATAGGAATACAAGAAATGGAAAAAGAAACACCTTGCTGCATTATTTAGTAATGAACGAAGGGCATACAAATGACGCAAATCTTTTGACATAGGAAGTGCGACCATGCTACAGCACTTGGCGCTTAATAACTAAATGGTAGCTTCCAGTTTTCTGCGTTTATCAGTGAGAACAAGCAAGCTTCTCCCTATTCCGACTTTTATTTGTGTCCAGGTATTGTAATGTACATTTATTAACGATGAAGACTATTTACATATATACAGGTCAGGATAGTCGGGACAATTATTGTGGACCAGTAGTTCGATCAGCAGTTATGTCCAAGTATCGCCGCTCGTCATCTTCTTCCATGTGACTAGACGGCACGCTCGCAGAGGCGCCAAGCAGGAGCATATATCACATTCTTCCCTACTAGACTAAGGCACATAGTCATTAAGATAAGTGGGGCAGTGTGTTTCTCTTTGAGGTCTCGAAGAGATTCTTGGGGGAACTGTTGCCGAACCAGGTGGTATGACTGCTGGTGTAGCGTCGCCCCTAACGTCCGTTTCTTCAGAGACCGCTACAGGTAGAGCACTGAAACTTAAGTCGACTGAATAGTTATCTTCATTGTTTTCTGCTAAGGTTGTCGCTGGCTTTCTGCGCAGGTGGCGAACATGGCGACGCCAGGATCGTCCATGTTCAGTGTCGATCCTGTAGGATAGTGGACCGGTCACGGCTCTGACAAGTCGGGAGGTCCACTTGACACCACACAAGTAATTCATTGCATAAACATTTTCACCAACGGTTAATAGTCGCGTCTTCTTGCTTCCTAGAGGAACTTGTCTTCTTATTTTCATGATGGATGGAACTGGGTATAAAAGTGCAAACGGTCTACCGTCGTCTTCAGAAGTCGATTCATCAATAGCTACTCAGGACTGCTGGCCGTAGAACATTGTGGCAGTGTATGTTGACGAGACAAAAATTGCGCCAAATCGACGTTTACGTCGCTTGAATTCATCTGAGTGAGTGCCTCCTTGGTTTCTCTCACCATTGGTTCGGCCTGGCCATTCGATGCGGGGTGGTAAGGTACCACCGCCACGTGCCGAATTTGGTTGTGGCTTGTAAATTCCTTGAATTCGGCCGAAACAAAGTTCGTGTCATTATCACTTACAATGATGTCTGATACTCCGTTCGTGGCGAACAACATCCTCAGTTTCTGAACGAAGGCTGAGGAAGACATAGGATTCATAACAACTAGCTCAAGCCATTTCTAGAATGAATCGACTCCGACAAGAAATATCTTTCCTTTGAAAGGTCCCGCAAAGTCAATGTGTAGACGAGAACCGGGAATGTTGAGTCGTCTCTCAGGGATGTACTGGTACCCACGGCATCGATGGACTGTGTCCTTGGCACGCAGAGCATCTCGCAGCCTTTCCTTCGACGTCATGGTTGATGCCAGGCCACCAGACTGTACTTCGTGCTTGTGCCTTCATCCTTACAATGCGTGGATGGGCTGTGTGCAGAACGCCGAGTACGGTGCCTTGTGCCACTTCGGGTACCGCAAGTCTGCTTCCCCAAATGATGCATCCCTTGCAAGCTGATAGTTCATTTCTTCTTGTTACGTACGGTTTGAACTCGTTAGGTTGTTCGACATCTGGCCGACACCGCATGATCCAGCGCATGTCGCCTGCGTTGTGACGGATGTCGTATTGATCTGCTGACACTCTCGAAAGTAGTCTTCATCTCTGGCGCGCATCCCAGTCAGCAAAGCACTGACCTGTCCCTCGCTAATTCGGTAGCACCAACTCGGCCGGACCAAAACCTTCGTCTACTTCTCTTCAGAGCGCGGCGACATCCCATGATCAACGAGCATGCCAGGATGATGATCACCAGGTCATCATCGACACTTACTAAGTAGCCAGCGAGTACGGTTTTGAAGCTGATATATGCGAAAGACGAAAGCCTAAAGGTAACTATCTAACGAACAGCAGACGACGAAAGAGCGAAAAATCCGGCCGTGGGCGCGC